CATGTGATTCTGGATACAGTGGTGATGGATTTACATGCAATGGTAAGTTATATACAGCAGGAGTATAGGGGTGGCAATCACCACAACAAACATCTCAATGTAATGGACAACTTTATCTTTCTGTATTACCTAGATACAAACGAATGTCAACCAGATTCACCTTGCCATGCAAATGCAACTTGTAATAACACCGAAGGATCTTACCATTGCGCATGTGATTCTGGATACAGTGGTGATGGATTTACATGCAATGGTAAGTTATATACAGCAGGAGTATAGGGGTGGCAATCACCACAACAAACATCTCAATGTAATGGACAACTTTATCTTTCTGTATTACCTAGATACAAACGAATGTCAACCAGATTCACCTTGCCATGCAAATGCAACTTGTAATAACACCGAAGGATCTTACCATTGCGCATGTGATTCTGGATACAGTGGTGATGGATTTACATGCAATGGTAAGTTATATACAGCAGGAGTATAGGGGTGGCAATCACCACAACAAACATCTCAATGTAATGGACAACTTTATCTTTCTGTATTACCTAGATACAAACGAATGTCAACCAGATTCACCTTGCCATGCAAATGCAACTTGTAATAACACCGAAGGATCTTACCATTGCGCATGTGATTCTGGATACAGTGGTGATGGATTTACATGCAATGGTAAGTTATATACAGCAGGAGTATAGGGGTGGCAATCACCACAACAAACATCTCAAGGTAATGGATAACTTTATCTTTCCGTATTACCTAGATACAAACGAATGTCTACCAGATTCACCTTGCCATGCGAATGCAACATGTAATAACACCGAAGGATCTTACCTCTGTACATGTGATTCTGGATACAGTGGTGATGGATTTACATGCGGTAAGTTGTATACAGTAGGAGTATAGGAGTGGCAATCACCACAACAAACATCTCAATATAGGGGATAACTTTATCTTTCTGTATTCCTTAGATAAAAACGAATGTCTAACAGATTCACCTTGCCATGCGAATGCAACATGTAATAACACCGAAGGATCTTACCTCTGTACATGTGATTCTGGATACAGTGGTGATGGATTTACATGCAATGGTAAAATATTAATGCGCAACATTAATATTCGAGAACGAATTACCACAAGAAACATCTATAAATAATGCATAACTTTACGTTTCGTTATTGCATAGATACAAATGAATGTCTACCAGATTCACCTTGCCATGCGAATGCAACATGTAATAACACAGAAGGATCTTACCTCTGCACATGTGATTCTGGATACAGTGGTGATGGATTTACATGCAATGGTAAAACATTAATGCGTAACATTAATATTCGAGAACGAATTACCGCAAGAAACTTCTATAAATAATACATAACTTTATGTTTCGCTATTACATAGATACAAATGAATGTCTACCAGATACACCTTGCTATGCGAATGTTATAACACAGAAGGATCTTATATGTGCACATGTGATCCTGGCTTCAGTGGGGATGGATTTACATGCAATGGTAAAATATTAGTGTGCAACATTAATATTCGAAAACGAATTACCACAAGAAACAGCTATAAATAATGCATAACTTTATGTTTCGTTATTACATAGATACAAATGAATGTCTACCAGATTCACCTTGCCATGCGAATGCAACATGTAACAACACAGATGGATCTTATATGTGCACATGTGATTCTGGCTACAGTGGGGATGGATTTACATGCAATGGTAAAATATTAGTGTGGAACATTAGGGAAAGTACATTTATTATGCCGAGGGGGGGGGATGAAGATGTTAAGGGGGGGCTCCGAAATATTTTCTGGCATTAAAGGGGGGGCTCTGAAAGTTCTTGATATACTGAAGGGGGGGGCTCTAAACTTTTCAAAGGTTTGACCCCAGCAAATAAAAGTTAAAATTTTTACATCAGTTTCAGGTAAAATTTGCGTAATAAAGTAATTATTTTTGTGAAATGATAACCATTTTTGTAAAATACAGTCAATTTACATGCAATTTGTTTGCGAAATTTGCTTTAGAAAACGCCAGAAATTCAGTCCTAGAGCTTCGAAAATGTAAAAATTTTCTGGGGGAGGACCGCCAGAACCCCCCTTTTCTCCCAAAACTTAGTATAAGAGTGCCAATCAATCACAAAAAGCTTTATTATAATTATTACACGTATAATCCTCTGACATCCCCCCCCACCCCAAACGTCAGATGCTTTGCTACATCCCTGATGGTTGTATTCGAAACCGATTTCAGTTTTAAGATATCCTTAGTCTGCTCTTCTAAATGGATACATGAAATCACCTATAGCTTATTTTAATTTTTTTTGCGCCAGGTTTGTGAAGTAATTTACGCGCCAAAAAGCAAAAAAGCATATACAATTTGCAAGAATGATATGTTCTATGTTTATGGGATATTTCGTACAAACGGGATGGAAATTAAAGAAATTGAAGCATACTGGCACTTTTGCATGCATTTTTGACAGGCATGCAAAGACATTTGCAACAGATGCTGGGAGATACGTTGGGTGGGGGCAACATACTGTAAGGTTCCAGCACATTACCCTGATCCAGGAAATCCTGGCCACTACATGAACGTGTTCAAGACTCCGAATACGCTGAATGATGGACAACAACAACCTGTTGATAATTCCACCCCTAGAGCCAATTTAAAATGGTTTAAAGACGATGCCATTTCATCTGGCGCTAGTGAGATGAAAGAAGCAGCAGATCGGCAGTTTTGTTGAGGAAAAGCACTTGAGTATATCAGACATCTTGAGGAACTGCAAATTGTATCTATGATAAGAGTGAATTCCCGGATTGTACTCCTTCGATTCCGAATTCTAGAGGGGGGCGGGGGCATTGAAAATTTTAAAAACTTGGCGGGGGGAGGCATCGAAATTTACCGATAACCTCAACAGGGGCCCTGTAAAAATATGAGCTTTTTTCAAGACATCTTCATCCCCCTCCCTCAGTGTATTAAATGTACTTTCCCTTAATATTCGAAAACGATTTACCACAAAAAGATCTATAAATAATGCATAACTTTATGTTTCGTTATTACTTAGACACAAACGAATGTCAACCAGATTCACCTTGCCATGCGAATGCAACTTGTACTAACACCGAAGGATCTTACCTCTGCACATGTGATTCTGGATACAGTGGTGATGGAGTTACATGCAACGGTAAGTTATATATAGCAGGAGCATAGGAGTGGCAATCACCACAACAAACATCTCAATGTAATGGATAACTTTATCTTTCTGTATTACTTAGATACAAACGAATGCCTACCACATTCACCTTGCCATGCAAATGCAACATGTAATAACACCGAAGGATCTTACCTCTGTACATGTGATTCTGGATACAGTGGTGATGGATTTACATGCAATGGTAAAAAAATAATGTGCAACATTAGCATTCGAGACGAACTACCACAAGAAACATCTATAAATAATGCATCACTTTACGTTTCGTTATTTCATAGATACAAATGAATGCCTACGAGATTCACCTTGCCATGCGAATGCAACATGTAATAACACAGAAGGATCTTATATGTGCAAATGTGATCCTGGCTTCATTGGGGATGGATTTACGTGCAATGGTAAAATATTAGTGTGCATCATTTTTATTCGAAAACGAATTACCACGAGAAACATCTATAAATAATGCATAACTTTATGTTTCGTTACTACATAGATACAAATGAATGTCTATCAGATTCACCTTGCCATGCGAATGCAACATGTAATAACACAGAAGGTTCTTACATGTGCACATGTGATTCTGGCTACAGTGGGGATGGATTTACATGCAATGGTAAAATATTAGTGTGCAACATTAATATTCGAAAACGAACGACCACAAGAAACTCTATAAATAAAGCATAACTTTATGTTTCGTTATTACATAGATACAAATGAATGTCAACCAGATTCACCTTGCCATGCGAATGCAACATGTAATAACACGGAGGGATCTTATATGTGCACATGTGATTCTGGCTACAGTGGGGATGGATTTACATGCAATGGTAAAATATTAGTGTGCAACATTAATATTCGAAAACGATTTACCAGAAAAAACATGTATAAATAATGCATAACTATATGTTTCGTTATTACATAGACACAAACGAATGTCAACCAGATTCACCTTGCCATGCGAATGCAACTTGTAATAACACCGAAGGATCTTACCTCTGCACATGTGATTCAGGATACAGTGGTGACGGATTTACATGCAATGGTAAGTTATATATAGCAGGATTATAGGAGTGGCAATCACAACAACAGACATCTCAATGTAATGGATAACTTTATCTTTCTGTATTACTTAGATACAAACGAATGTCTACCAAATTCACCTTGCCATGCGAATGCAACATGTAATAACACCGAAGGATCATATCTCTGTACATGCGATTCTGGACACAGTGGTGATGGATTTACATGCGGTAAGTTATATACAGCAGGAGAATAGGAGTGGCAATCACCACAACGAACATTTCAATATAATGGATAACTTTATCTTTCTGTATTACTTAGATGTAAACGAATGTTTACCAGATTCACCTTGCCATGCGAATGCAACATGTAATAACACCGAAGGATCTTACCTCTGTACATGTGATTCTGGATACAGTGGTGATGGATTTACATGCAATGGTAAAATATTAGTGCGCAACATTAATGTTCGAAAAAGAACTACCACAAGAAACTCTATAAATAATGCAAAATTTTACGTTTCGTTATTTCATAGATACAAATGAATGTCTACCAGATTCACCTTGCCATGCGAATGCAACATGTAATAACACAGAAGGATCTTACCTCTGCACATGTGATTCTGGATACAGTGGTGACGGATTTACATGCAATGGTAAAACATTAATGCGCAACATTAATATTCGTTAACGAATTACCACGAGAAGCATCTATAAATAATGCATAACTTTATATTTCGTTATTACATAGAAACAAATGAATGTCTCCAAGATTCACCTTGCCATGCGAATGCAACATGTAATAACACAGAAGGATCTTATATGTGCACATGTGATCCTGGCTTCAGTGGGGATGGATTTACATGCAATGGTAAAATATTAGTCTCCAACATTAATCTTCGAAAGCGAATTACCACGAGAAACATCTATAAATAATGCATAACTTTATGTTTCGTTATTACATAGATACAAACGAATGTCTACCAGATTCACCTTGCCATGCGAATGCAACATGTAATAACACAGAAGGATCTTATATGTGCACATGTGATCCTGGCTTCAGTGGGGATGGATTTACATGCAATGGTATAATATTAGTGTGCAACATTAATATTCGAAAGCGAATTACCACGGGAAACATCTATAAATAAGGGATAACTTTATGTTTCGTTATTACATAGATACAAATGAATGTCTACCAGATTCACCTTGCCATGCGAATGCAACATGTAATAACGCAGAAGGATCTTATATGTGCACATGTGATTCTGGCTACAGTGGGGATGGATTTACATGCAATGGTAAAATATTAGTGTGCAACATTAATATTCGAAAACGAACTACTACGAGAAACTCTATAAATAATGCACAACTTTATGTTTCGTTATTACATAGATACAAATGAATGTCTACTAGATTCACCTTGCCATGCGAATGCAACATGTAATAACACAGAGGGATCTTATATGTGCACATGTGATTCTGGCTACAGTGGTGATGGATTTACATGCAATGGTAAAATATTAGTGTGCAACATTAATATTCGAAAACGAATTACCACATGAAACATCTATAAATAATCCATAACTTTATATTTCGTTATTACATAGATACAAATGAATGTCTATCAGATTCAGCTTGCCATGCGAATGCCACATGTAATAACACAGAAGGATCTCATATGTGCACATGTGATTCTGGCTACAGTGGGGACGGATTGACATGCAACGGTAAAATATTTTATATAATAACCACAGTGAAACACGCAATTTGATTGGTCAACCGCCGTGCAGACAATCCTGCACTGGAAAATCTCATAGATATCAAATTCAGAACAGAAATTATTGCATATAATTTTACAAATATACTCGCATTGTAAAGTTTCATTGTGCGATACCTTTCGACTTTGAAGTAGGTTTCCAATTATTGAGACGTTGGTTTAGTTGTAGGAATAAATTTCTGATCGATACATTGCTCTTCAGCAAGTAGCAACGCGTAATCGTTAAAAGTCATCAGACCATGGCGTGCAAGTACAACATCTCTCTCTTCAAAGTTGATCAAACGCTTCGCAATCTTCACATATTCAGGTCGAGAATCTTTAAAACTACTGTGGCTCTCTGTTTAGCGGGTTTTCCATTTCGAATTTGTATATTTTATCAAAAAAGTCCCTGTCTTTTCGCTGTATATTTTCGCGAATTTGCGATCAAATTATGTTCACATATGTGACCTTCCTTGGGAAAAGGTACGTTAACGCTTTTGAAAAACGTTCTGAAAAATCGTTCGTTATCCGTTCGTTATCCGTTTAAACGATTTAGCTTTCCGTTGAAACGATTTTTGAAAACGTTCAGACTCCTTAATGAAGCGTTCAAACGGTTGGACAAAAAAGTTTGAAAAATTTTGCAAAATCGTTCGAACGATTGGTACAAAACGTTCAAATACGTTCATGAAGCCGTTTAAATGCCTCAGAGAATATCTTTACGATAGTTAAGCCGACTTTGTAGGCGTTTAATTAAAAGTTTATCTGAAACCGATTGTCTTGTAAGATTTACAAATGGATACTATTAGACAAGTATTACGGACAACGGTATAATATAAGTTCGCCACCCTTCATGATATTAAATATTCTAAGCGTCGAAACTGTTGCGGTGAAATACTGCAACAATATCTAATTTAGCAAAATGTTTCTCGTATGTTAAAAGGTGGTTTAATTAAAATACACATCCGCGAACTTGCCGTTTCCGTCTTTTAATAGCATCAGCTTAGTGTCAATTAATTCATTTAAGTTATATTATTATTCGGTCGAATAACTAAGAGTCGTTATGTTACAAATACAATTGTATCCAACCAAAAAATAAATCAATGTACAGCCCACCAGTTTAGAGACATGAGACACGGCACAAATTTCGATAAATCATGTCACACATGTATGGGGAATGGCAACGGCGCAAACCATACTCGAAGACAATGGCCGTGCGAGGCACTCCCTGTTTGAATTTTTATGCGGATACTGGGGATACTGGCATTCTCCTGTCACCAACCGAAACCGATACTGTTTCAAAGTCAAAAAATGTTACAGTCAGCTACTTCTGTTTTTTTAGCTCTGATCCACTTATCTGGGAAAAACGTCCAAGTTGATATTAAACGTGATGCCTGCAGCCTTTTAACTGCTTTATTAATTATATTTAACTATTTAAACAAAATGATCAATTTTATAAAAGATGTGGGAATCAGCTACAGCATAAACAATAATAAAGCAGTGTCAATCACTAATTTTTCCTCAGTTATAATTAAACCGTGTATGCATTTATTTCCGAGTTTTAGAAGGACTGGTGATCTTGCAGCGTGCGCTTACATGTGCAAAATGGAATGTTTCAGGATAGAATATTATACAATACAAAACAAAACACGAAACGTCGAAATAAATTTTCAAAATGCTTTCAATTTTCGGAGTATCTATTGTTTTGTATTTTATCAAAATACTCAGTGGTTCCGGTAATTAAAGAATATTATACCTTTTTGGCGTTTCAAACACTTCATTTTATAATTATTTCATTAACTGCATGGCATTGCCATTACCAACTTTTGTGCCTTCCATCTTTCGGGAGCTATTGTGCTATAATAACTGATATAAGCTGCTGTTATAAGAACAACAACTGTCATAAGAAAGAGACGCTTAATTTAACTATCGCGAGGATCTCAAAGATTAAGGAATTTAACATTCCCATACTCTAATTTTCTTTTCAACTATATAGTTGCATTCAGCCCTGCAGTCGAGTGGAAATCACTCGGTTAACATATCGATTTTTTCCTTAACCCATGCACCTCTTCATATTTTCAGATAATATATCGCGTCGTGTAGCGTGATAGGAAACACTTGCATTAAATGTCACAAAAAATTATTATTAGATTAATTATACCTTTCTATTAAACGAACTATTTTTATACAAGTTGTCATCAATGTCATCAATATTAGCTTGCAAAGTTCAAATTGCGCCAATACGGATAGGATGTATATCTTCATGTGTGCGACTGTAAATTCGATAGATAGCAACCTACAGTGCCTAAAATGGATTTATGCGAGGATTTACGTAGCTTAAAGATATAGGACGACATCAGAAGTGAGAAGACATCGTAAGGTTAGCGTATAGTCCTTGCGGTCAACTAGTTACGGCATGTATGCCGATTAAATATTTATAATTTATTTCTGATTTCTATAAAGAAAGTAAAATAGGAGGCCACGAGGAAAAGTTGTGTGTATTAACGTGTTGCAAGCTATATATCTTTGCATTTCCCAACTAGAATAATTTGGGGGGGGGAGGGAAACGGCCTTATATACTGTATAGTTGTGTGACTTGTTGCATGTAAAATATAGCCTATAGTAAAGACGTTTTAAATAGCGATGTTGTGATTGCGCGAAAACATAAAAGGGAATTGGTCTTCTTGATTAGGCTTGTAAAAAGATGTACTATATCCATATATAGTATATACAGTGCATTTTAAGGAGTGCATTCACACTTTTCATCAGTACCAATATATCGTCATTATTCTTATCTGCATTCTGCAATTTACCTTATAATTGCTGCGTGCTGTGTTTTATATTTGCCGTTCAAACTGTTTATTTTCATGGTTTAAATACCTTTAGGTCTTGACCATTTACTATTATGTTAGTATAACACATCGTAATAAATTACCATTGTGACCGCATCTTTGCCTAATATTCAGGAGCGAATTATGAATTGATTACGGAAAATATTATAATGGCGATAATTCAACAACCAGCATGTACTTTGCATTTTAGACCTGCCGTGTTTCACAGGCTATAGTATAGACGAAATTACCGATGCGTACATTAAGCATGCAATGGACGCCTGATTTAATTCGACAGAAATGTGTCCACAATATCAAACAAGTCATATACTGAGCCATAGGCTATAATTGAGACAATAGCACTCGCGGCGACAGGTTCGATCGACACAGATAATGCATCGTTCTACAGCTGTTGTGTATTTAATAGTTAGCGTTGCATGCTCAAACCGTGATCGCTAAATCCCAACAATATAGCCTATAATTATATATTATCCGAGCTCGCGAGTTCATACTCGTTTTTTCCCACTTTGGATTGTGCTATTTTATAGTGTCCTTGTCTGGCTATTTTCATGCCTAATCTTATTATACCACGTTAATTAATTTAATTTCCTTTTTGAAATTATGCATCACGAAAAAATTGTCAACAAATCCTATACGCAAAATTTCTTACATATAGACTATAGGGACTATATTCATGTTTCGTATGTGTATACTATACTTTTAGTTCTATAGGAGTATTATATATATATATATATATATATATATATATATATATATATATATATATATATATATATATATATATATATATATATATATATATATATATATCGCATAGTCGCATTTAGAGTAGAAAGGTGACGTAAGTCCCAGGTCGGCTGTGTGATATAGCTATAAAAATATCGCCGCATGTCTCCGGTATAAACTGATTGTCTCTAGACTTAGCGCAAAACCGCTTTAGCGTCTTTGATTTTGTTAGTATCGAAATCGACAAAACTTGGAACGTTTATAAACACCAAAGTGATCTATTTTGTTTCTGCATGCTTATGCACGCATCTGGATAAATGCGTGGTTGTTAATTCTTGTTCAGTTTTCAGTGTACTGACGTTTTTGTATATTGTTCACTGCTTTATACCAATCTGTTAGTTAGATCCGTTGAAACGGTGGGCGAATGCCGTTCAAACCGTTTCTTAATTTCGTTCGAACGGTTTGTTAATCCGTTCGTAAAGGGGTTAAATTTTTTGTGTTCATCCGTTCGTATTTTTCACTCAAAACGTCTAAAACGTTTTGACGATCCGTTAAAACGATTTGACAAAGCGTTTACTATTCGTTCGTTATCCGTTTTTTTGCCCGTTTTAATGCAAAATCGTTAACGTACCTTTTCCCAAGGAAGGTCACATATGTTGTTGTTTTCAATAGCGTGGAGTAGTGATTTTTAAGTCTGTGAGGGGGTCGAATATGTATTTATCCACCCACTTTTTGACATGTTTAATGAAATTTTGTTTCTTGCTTATCCAAAAGCTTAATGCATAGTATGCTATTCATCAAAAATTGTGATTGAAAGGAAGACATGTAATAAGAAGAAGTACAACGTATAATCTTTCTGTAGCCGCTGGGAGCAAACACTGACTTCGCATACACTATGTAAAATTATAAACACTTTAGAATAGCCTAATTGAGTTTTAACTGAGTTTTTCTTAAATACATTATTATCATCAACATAAGCCAAATGGTTAACTCAATAGATTATTAGCACTAAAATAAGGGTGAGGACATGTTAACCTGTGAATAGACGTCTGTTAACAGGCCAGCACATGTTGGTTTTTAGCGGATTTCTCACATGGTTAAAAACGGATTTCAGATCATGCACATTGTAAAATAACTTTATAGGTGCATCCATAAAGCTGGGAATGCCGTTTCTGCGTATCAAATATTCGGGTATCATACCTCCGGACCTTCCTAGTTTGGCGTACTTCCCCCTCCCCACTTCCTGGGGAAGATTGACGCCCTTGAATACATTTACGTCAATTCACGTATTATTTTATTTTGTGTCTGTGTAGATGTTGATGAATGTGCTCTTGGTACTGACAACTGCCACGATAATGCTACATGTAATAATACAGATGGTTCATTTGAATGTAGTTGCAATGACGGATATTCAGGGAATAGTACAATCTGTGAAAGTAAGTAGACTATGAAAGCGATATTAGGATGGTGGATTGACCTCTCGGGTACGCAGATTTAAGGATTAGCTTCTATTTTAAAGTCACTACCGAAGAGGTGCTGCTGTTTGCGTTCTATTCTATTTTATCTGGCCGTGAATCGGTTAAGAGAAGTGTCCTTGCTGCAGAGTTATCATTTCGTTTTCCGATAGCATGTATAGTTTCATTATTTTGGTTTGAATGACAATTTATTTTGTGCTTTTAAACCGATAATATCTAGTCATTAACATTATGTCAAGAATGCATAGGCTACGTTCAAGTTTTAATTGCTTTGATCTCGCATTATTTTATAAACAGAATTGCAATGTAGCTCATGGATTTATTCATCAATTAAAACTTTTCAGATATTGATGAATGTGTAGACAGATCTCATGATTGCCATTATAACGCTACATGTACCGATACTGACGGTTCATTCGTTTGTTCTTGTAATTCTGGCTTCTCAGGAAATGGGACTTATTGTCAAGGTTGGTTTCAGAATACTTGCATGTTGTGATTTTATCGACATTTGGTTCATAATTATTTGACCAATTGACCTTGGGTTATTGTCAAGCTTTCCCAGACTCTAAGACATGTGCCTCCTGTGAGGGGATTGCTTTTGATACGAAAGTTCTGAAAATGTACGCGTGTGAAGAAGTGTAATATTTTCTTAGATATACCTGAATTAGCCGACGTCTCGTAGAATTTAAGACTTTGATAATGTAAAACTTGATCGTCGCGCGTGATTTACGCAAATCATGTCACCCGGGTGACATGATCAAATCACTATGTGAGATGATTCAAGTCGCCCGCTTACGTAAAATATGATGACTATGGTGCGATTCGATGATAAACTTCATGCTCATGTGGCACAAACTTAGCTTTCTGAGTGGACACTTTCAATATGAGGTATAATGTTAGAATTTATTATATTCAGAAGGTCTGGATATGAGGAATTCTGGAATCTGATTGGTTCTCTACCAGCAAGAAATTATAGCTGATATCTTCCTAGTAGAGATAAACAAAATGGCGGCTCAAATTGATTAAACTAATTTTCTGATGTCTTTCGAACGAATAAACGGCACGTTGTTCGCTTTTTGCAGCCTTTACAGGATTAAAACACAATGGTAAAGTTCCCACAAATTGTTTATAGTCTAGGACCTGAATATGAGTTTGTATCAATTTATTTTATGACAGGTAATCTCAACTGTGTTTACGTAAAATGACCATGGCGCTTAATATGGCATATGCACCAAAAACCTGAATCCGGCCCGAATTACTTGACTGCACCAATACACTCATGGGCGTCAATCCTTGGAAGGGTGAGGGAAGGACGCGTCCCCCCCAGTTTTTGAAGTGGGTGAGGGGGTCGAATATCTATTTATCCACCCACTTTTTGACACGTTTAATGAAATTTTGTTTCTTGGTCATCCAAAAATTTAATGCATGGTATGCTACTCATAAAAAATTGTGATTGAAAGGAAGACATTTAACAAGAAGAAGTACAACGTATAATCTTTCTGTAGCCGCTGGGAGCAAATACTGACCTCACATATACTATGTAAAATTATAAACACTTTAGAATAATTTCGTTCAACTGAGTTTTTCTGAAATACATGATTATCATCAACATAAGGCAAATGGTTAATTTAATAGATTATTAGCATTAATATAAAAAATCAGGACATGTTAACCTGTGAACAGACGTGTTGGTTTTTAGCGGATTTCTCACATGGTTAAAAACGGATCTCAGATCATGCACATTGTAAAATAAATTTATAGGTGCATCCATAATGCTGGGAATGCCGTTTCAGCGTATCAAATATTCTGGTACCATACCTTCGGACCTTCCTAGTTTGGAGTATTCGCCCCCCCCCCCAACTTCTTGAGGTAGATTGACGCCCTTGAATACATTTACGTCAATTCACGTATTATTTTATTTTGCGGCTGTCTAGATGTTGATGAATGTTCTTTTGGTACTGACAACTGTCACGATAATGCTACATGTAATAATACAAATGGTTCATTTGAATGTAGTTGCAATGACGGATATTCAGGGAATGGTACAAGCTGTGAAAGTAAGTGGACCATGAAAGCGATATTAGGATGCTGGATTGACCTGTCGTGTTCGCAGGTTTAAGGATTAGCTTCTATTTTAAAGTCGTTTCCGAAGAGGTGCTGCAGTTGCATGCCAAACTGACGTCAATCGAAACGTTTTATTTTATCTGGCCGAGAATGGGTTAAGAGAAGTGACCTTGCTGCACAGTTAGCATTTCATTTCCCGATAGCATGTATAGTTTCATTATTTTGGTATGAATGACAATTTATTTTGTGCTTTTACACCGATAATATCGATCTAATCCATAACATTATGTTAGAAATGTAGGCTACGTCCATGTATTTATTGCTTTCATCTGGCATTATTTTATAAACATTATTGCAATGTAGCTCATGGATTTATTCATTAATTAAAACTTTTCAGATATTGATGAATGTGTAGACAGATCTAATGATTGCCATTATAACGCTACATGTACCGATACTGACGGTTCATTCATTTGTTCTTGTAATTCTGGCTTCTTAGGAAACGGGACTTATTGCCAAGGTTGGTTTCAGAATACTTGCATATTGTGATTTATAGACATTTGGTTTACAATTGTTTGACCTTGGGTTCTTGTCAAACTTTCTCAGACTTTAAGACATGTGCCTCCTGTAGGGCGATTGCTTTTGATACGCCCGTCAATGATTGGAAATAGAAGTTCTGAAGAAGTACGCGTGTGAAGAAGTGTAATATGCTTAGATATAGCTGAATTAGCTGACATCTCGCAGAATTCAAAATTTTGAGAATGTGAAACTTGCCACATACCTTTGTGAATACGATGTTTTATTTTTGGATTAATTTAACGCGAGTATCGTTGCTTTTTTATCGGAGTAAGTATCGTTTGAAATATTGATGACAACATTTTTCAAAATTCCTTCAAAATTTTCAAAAAAAGTGTATTTCATCCTGAGCATATTTTTCGGCCATCTTGTTTGCGTGATCGTCGCGCGTGGTTTACGCGAATCATGTCACCCGGGTGACATGATCAAATCACTATTAGTCTAGAACCTGTCTTAGTCCTGAAAATAACCCCGCCCTGAAACGGCAGTGCTGACATAGCTCCAACTTCCGAAAACGAAAAGCGACAGCTTTTCTGAAGGAAAAATTTGTCTAAGTATTATATTTTACCAGAAAATGACCATGCACCATCCCATGTAAATTGCAAATTATGTATAAAATAACTAATATGCTTGGCAGAAATTAAATGTTCTTACTTCCTAAAAAAATTATCATGGTATGAAAAACTATGCTTAATTTAATATAATTATTGTAGTTTTCATAAGGATTGTCATTGTTTTTTTAAATATAATACATTTTATTCCCACCCCCCCCTAACGAAAACACGATTTCATCCATATTTAGCCGTCTTGTTTGCTTTTTATCGCCGCAAATATCATCCAGTTGTACATATTGATCAATGGCTAAAGAAGATTTCAACCAAGTTTCGTCAAGTTTTGAAGCAGTGCCGTGTATTTTATCTTCGATCTTGTGTCCTTCGATATTTCGTCAAATTGCGGCTATTTTAATGGTTCGCCGCGTGTCTGCCCGATAAATTCCACTTCTTCGTTTTCATATGTGTCTAGATTACAGTATCCAAGAGTACGTCATTGCAGAATAGTCCCAATCGAAAAATTGACAACATTGCTCCCAATCACGCGCAATCTTTGCGAAACCTTTTCGTGGACACATGACGGGGGGTGAATATTTTTGTCAATAAGTTTTCTTCATAAAATTTTCTTTTATGAAGAAAAAATCCTCCCAACTTATCGACAAAATCCTAAAATATGGTGGGAAAACATAAACGCTATCGTTGGAAAGTAGAGAAATACCACACCAACGCTTCTTGACCCCATCCCCGAACTACCAATGAATAATAAGCAAGCGGCTGATCACGTAGAATCATTTTTCTCAAGTCTTACAAACGACTTCTTGGAAGTTGTGAATGCAGTTGTCGCAATCTGTTGACACACATACCATATCCTGTTGACTTTGGAAAACAGTCCTGTTTCCAAGGCAGATTAACTTTATATCTTCCTTCAACTTTATCAAATTGTATCTCGGGTAGAAATTCCGTTGTCAGGGTTTCACTAAACGTATCATTCTTGATACCAATCGATTCGGTCTCCCAGAATCTTTGAAAACTATCTGTCAGGTAATCATCTCGTTTGATGCTGAGGTTCTTCTCGTTCGAAAACTAAGTGCAATAATGTTGCATTGTTATTTTTTCCAGTGTCTCTCGATGGCAAAGAAAGAACCCATCCAAATTTGCTGTTAACAACCACTGGGCCACCTCCTCTTCTTACAATTTCCCCAATCACAATGTCGTGCTAATGATCAGATCCCATCAGTGTGTCGATTTCATCATTACTGTTCTCGGCAAGAGAGGAATAAGGAAGATCCAATGCCATCAAATGCGGATATTTATCGAGTTCAATCTTGGTAGGAAGAGGTGAACAGATTTCTCAAAACAAAGAGCTGAAATTTTGATATCTTTGCCTTCTTTGCCTTTCAGGTTTAAACTGACAACATCACATTTCTGTTTTGTGAATTTATCCTGCCCAAATGTGTTCAATTTTAGCGTTTCTTTCTTTATTGGTTGAAGGCCAAGTCGTTTCTTCAGATGATTGGTTGCGTATGATCTTTGACAACCACTGTCTAAAGGCACTCGAACAGGAATAGCTCTGTTGCTATGTTGAGAAAAAGCATATGTCGTGGCAGTTTGCAAAAACACTTTTATGAGCCGTTGGACGTTGTAGTTGTTGTGAGGTTCTGCGTTTCGTTTTTCTCCTCTTTCGCTTCTGGTTTTGTTGTTTCTTCAGGATTGATCTTTCGAAGTGCTTTGGTAGCTTTAGTACAAATAAATAAGTGTTTGCCATTGCACCAACGACAGAGCCTGCCATTTTCACATTCATGTGCACAATGACCACCTTGCAAACATAAATAGCATCGTTTCTGATCTCTTAAACTGCCCTTTCGATCATCCACAACTTTCACATGTTCGCACGCTGCTGAGTAATGATATTGTCCAGAACAGACAGTACACATTTTATCTTTCGCTCATTTTTCCCATCTTTAACGAATATACTTGCCGCAGATGAACTGTAATTCAGCTGTCGATTTGGTTTTCATACTTCATTTTGCTTGCGAATGTCATTAAAACTAGAATTGATTGTACGAACACTATCACTGATCTCCCGTGCTTCCACTTCTTTTCGAATAATTTCCAAAATATCATCAATTTTCCACAGTTCGCTGGCAGTCTTTCTTGCAACATGGATTAGTGACTCAGGTGGTAGTTTTGACATGAAAACTGGAATAAGCAGACTACCATACTGACCCGATTTTACTCCAAGGGCCTCAAGCCTTCTTACGTTAACATTAGTGAGCTTAAGCAAGTGACGTTTTTGACAACACAGACGTCGAACGGAAGTAAAGTTGACGTTTTTCACCAATCACAGCCCTTGACCGAGTCTTCTGACGTTACTCATGCCGTTTGGTGGTCAAAAATGTCACTTGCTTAAGCTCACTATTAAATTTATCATACTCTTCGAAGATCGCGCACCTTTTCAGTCGAACAATCGGGAAGTTTTAACATTTTATCCATATGGGCGGATATGACAACTTGTGTATTTCCATAACGTTGTTTGAGAATATCTATTGCAACTTTGTAGTTTTCTTCAGTTGGAGGCAACCCCTTAATAACCAGTAATGGTAAACCCTCCAACAAGGAATATAAGTAATTAAATTTGTCAATGCTTGACAAACTTCTATTCTTACCGACAGCATTTTGAAAACTATCCCAAAATGGTTGAAATTCAGTAATCTCTCGTCTGAACCTTTGTAAGCTTCGTTTTTGCACCATAACCTATGACGTAATTTCCACTTGATTGACTGGGTGCTGGACTACTAGGGTCTGGGTGAATTAAGGTTGGGTTATTTGGTGTAGGATCTTGGGTTGAACTAACATTGTCCTGTTTGTTTATTGTTTCATTATTGACATTAATTTCAGAGGAAATTTCACATATCTCTGTTATTTCTGCTTGCGGGATATTTTGACCAGGTATAGATATATCGTGAATAGGTACTTTTCCCGTATCGTCGATTTTCTTTGCAAAAAACTTGGATATCCGTTTCCTGACATCAGGAACTCGTGAATTTAATTCCTCGGATACTTAAATCTCGCTTTCTATTTCTTTAACTTCGCACAACTGTAAGATTTCTTTGTCGAATTTGTGCAACGTGTTTAAACGATCCTTCGTATTTTCGTCGATATTTTCTCGATTTTTTAATGATTCCTTCGCTTCGTTACTGTATTTCGTTATAACAGCTCTGTTCCCACGACGGGTAGCCTTTTTCCTTTCCAATTGATCGGTCCTAGCGCTAAAACATAACATTTTCGGTAAACTAAAGAAGCCTTGCCGTGACGTTGGGCGCCATGTTTGAAATTTGATATATTTCTAATATTATTACATGAAGTATTACGATAACAGATACATTTAAAGTAGTGTTTCGTAATCTGTCACACTAGTAGAGAAAAACAAAAAGGCGCCTCAGATTAATTAAACTGAATTTCTGATGTTTTGCGAACGGAAAAACGGCAAGTTGTTCGCTTTTTGGAGTGGGTGGGGGATCGAATATCTAATTAACCCCCCACTTTTTGACATGTTTAATGAAATTTTGTTGCTTGGTTGTCCAAAAACTTAATGCATGGTATGCTACTCATAAAAAATTGTGATTGAAAGGACGTCATTTAATAAGAAGAAGTACAATGTATAATCTTTCTGTAGCCGCCGAGAGCAAATACTTACTTCGCATATATTATGTAAAATTATAAACGCTTAAGAATAATTGCGCTTTAATTTAACTGAGTTTTTCTTAAATAGATGATTATCATCAAAATAAGGCAAATGGTTAATTCAATAGATTATTAGCATAAAAATAAGGGTGAGGACATGTTAGCCTGTGAACAGACGTCTGTTAACAGGCCAGCACATGTTTGTTTGCTTTTAACGGATTTCTCTCATGGTTGAAAACGGATTTCAGATCATGCACATTGAAATATAACTCTTTAGGTGCTTCCATAAAGCTTGGAATGCCGTTTCATATATTCGGGTTGTATACCTCCGGACCTTCCTAGTTTGGAGTACTTCCCCCTCCCCACTTCTGGAGATAGATTGACGCCCTTGAATACATTTACGTGAATTCACCAATTATTTGATTTCATGTCTGTGTAGATGTTGATGAATGTGCTCTTGGTACTGACAACTGTCACGATAATGCTACATGTAATAATACAGATGGTTCATTTGTATGTAGTTGCAATGACGGATATTCAGGGAATGGTACAATCTGTGAAAGTAAGTGGACTATGAATGCGATATTAGGATGGTGGATTGACATCTCGGGTCGCAGGTTTAAAGATTAGCTTCTATTTAAAAATCGCTACCGAAGAGGTGCTGTAGTTGCATGCTAAACTGACGTCAATTAGCGTTCTATTTTATTTTATCTAACCGTGATTCTGTTAATTGAAGTGTCTCTGCTGCAAAGTTAGCACTTCATTTACCGATAGCATGTATAGTTCCATTATTTTGCTTTGATTGACAATTTATTTTGTGCTTTTAAACCGATAATATCTCATTTTTAACATTATGTTGCTTTGACCTCGCATCATTTTATAAACAGAATTGCAATGTAGCTCATGAATTTATTCATAAATTAAAACTTTTCAGATATTGATGAATGTGTAGACAGATCTCATGATTGCCATTATAATGCTACATGTACCGATACTGACGGTTCATTCATTTGTTCTTGTAATTCTGGCTTCTCAGGAAACGGGACTTATTGTCAAGGTTGGTTTCAGAATACTTGCATATTGTTATTTTATAGACATTTGGTTCATAAGTATTTGACCTTGGGTTATTGTCAAGCTTTCTCAGACTCAAACACATGTGCCTGCTGTAGGGCGATTGCTTTTAATACGCCCGTCAATGATTGGATATAGAAGTTCTGAACAAGTACGAGCGTGTGAAGAATTGTAACGTGTTTAGAAATACCTGAATTCGCCGACGTCTAACAGAATTCAGGATTTTGAGAATGTAAAACTTGCCTTTGTTTTTTCTTTTTACGATGTTTTATTTTTGAATTAACACCAGTATAGTTTCTTTTCTTTCCGTGTAAATATCGCTTGGAATATTGATGAGAACATTTTTCAAAAAAAGAGGTTCATCTCGTCCTTAGTATATTTTTCGACCATCTTGTTTGCGTAATCGCAATGCGTGCTTTACGCGAATCATGTCACCCGGGTGACATGATCAAATCGCTATGCGATATGATTCAAGTCACCCGATTACGTCAAATATGATGACGTATGGTGCGATTCGATAATAAACTTCATGCTCACGTGCACAAACTTAGCTTTTTGCATGGACACGTTCAAATTGAAGTATAATATTAGAATTTATTATATACACAACGTCTGGATATGAGAAAATCTGGAATCTGATTGGTTCTTTACCAGCAAGATATTAGCTCATAGCCTGGTAGTAGGGAAAAACAAAATGGCGGCACAAATTAACTGAATTTCAGATGTTTTGCGAGCGAGAAAACGGCAAGTTGTTCGCTTTTAGGAGCCTTCATAAGGTAAAAAAAACACGATGAAAAGCTCCCCCAAATTGTTTATAGTCTAGGACGTGTATATAAAATTGTATGCATTTCATTTCGGACAGGTAATCTCAACTGTTTTTGGGTAAAATGATCATGGCGGTCAACATCGCACATGTGCCAAAACCTGAATCCGGAGCGGAAGTCCTGAAAATTACCTGAGTGTATCAGTACATTTATGGGCGCCAATTCTTGGGGAGATGGGGGAACGCGTCCCCCAATTTTTGGAGTGGGATGGGGTCGAATATCTAATTATCCCCCCCCCCCCACTTTTTGACGTGTTTAATGAAATTTTGTTTCTTGGTTATCCAAAAACCTAATCCATGGTATCATATTCATCAAAAATTGTGATTGAAAGGAAGACTTTTAATAAGAAGAAGTACAACGTATAACCTTTCTGTAGCCGCTCGGAACAAATACTGACTTTGAATATATTATGTAAAATTACAAAAATTTAAGAATAATTGTGTTTTAAATTAACTGAGTTTTCCTTAAATTGATGATTATCATCAAAATAAGGTGTAAAAGATACCTGATAATGGATATAATAATCTGTAAGTATGTAAATAAGATTAGCAAATTATAATTAGCCGCGGATGCTCCACTAGCAAGCTGCATCCGTGATATAGTAAAAATAGCTCTCTAAATAATTAAACGAAGGTAACACCCTAAAGATAGAGAATATAAATATGGAATCGGAAAATGAATAAAGTTAAGTCGGATCTAGACCACGTTGTGTGTTGTGTTAGCTTGGGTCGTTACAAAAGCAAATGGTTACTTAAAAAGATTATTAGCATTAAACCAAGGGTGAGGACATGTTAGCCTGTGAACAGACGTCTGTTAACAGGCCAGCACATGTTGGTTTTTAGCGGATTTCTCACATGGTTGAAAACGGATTTCTGAACATGCACATTGTAATATAACTTTACAGGTGCCCCCATAAACCTGGGAATGCCGTTTCAGCGTCTCAAGTATTCGGCTAGCATGCCTCCGGACTTTCCTAGTTTGGAGAACTCCCCCCCCACTTCTAGCGATAGGTTGACGCCCTGGAATAAATTTACGTCAATTTACGTATTATTTTATTTTGTGTCTGTGTAGATGTTGATGAATGTGCTTTTGGTACTGACAATTGTCACGATAATGCTACATGTAATAATATAGATGGTTCATTTGAATGTAGTTGCAATGACGGATATTCAGGGAATGGTACAATCTGCGAAAGTAAGTGAACTATGAAAGCGATATTAGGATGGTGGATTGACCTGTCGGGTTCGCAGGTGTAAGGATTAGCTTCTATTTTGAAGTCGCTACCGAAAAGATGCTCTAGTTGCATGCTAAACTGACGTCAATTAGCGTTTTATTTCGTTTTATCTGGCCGTGAGTCTGTTCATTGAAGTGTCCTTGCTGCAGGGTTAGCACTCTTTTTCTCGATAGCATGTATAGTTTCATTATTTTGTTTAGAATGACAATTTATTTTGTGCTTTTCAACCGATAATATCTTAACATTAACATTCTGTTAAGAATATATAGGCAACGTTCAAGTATTAGTTGCTTTGATCTCGCATTATTTTATAAACAGTATTGGGATGTAGCTCATGAGTTTATTAATCAATTAAAACTTTTCAGATATTGATGAATGTGTAGACAGATCTCATGACTGCCATTATAACGCAACATGTACCGATATTGACGGTTCATTCGTTTGTTCTTGTAATTCTGGCTTCTCAGGAAACGGGACTTATTGTCAAGGTTGGTTTCAGAATACTTGCATATTGTGATTTTATCCACATGTAGTTGATAATTATTTGACTTTGGGTTATTGTCAAGCCTTCTCAGACTCTAAGACATGTGCCTGCTGTAGAGCGATTGCTTTTGATACGCCCATCAATGGTTGGAAATAGAAGTTCTGAACAAGTACGGGCGTGTCAAGAAGTGTAATATCAGTATCGTTGCTTTTCTATCGGAATGAGTATCGTTTGGAATATTGGTGACAAGATTTTTCAAAATTTCCTTCAAAATTTAAAAAAAAAGAGGTTCATCTTATCCTTAGTACATTTTTCGTCCATCTTGTTTGCGCAATCGTCACGCGTAGTTTACGCGAATCATGTCGCCCGGGTGACATGATCAAATCGCCAGGTGAGGTGATTCAAGTCACCCGATTACGTCAAATATGATACTGCTTATCGATGATAAACTTCATGCTCACGTGACACACATATAGCTTTTTGATTGCTTGGACACTTTCAATTTGAAGTATAATATTAGAATTTATTATATACACAAGGTCTGGATATGAGGAATTCCGCAATCTGATTGGTTCCCTACCAGCAAGATATTAGCTCATATCTTAGTAGTAGAGAAAAACAAAATGGCGACTCAAATTAACTGAATTTGCGATGTTTTGCGAGCGTGAAAACGGCAAGTTGTTCGCTTTTAGTAGCCTTCATAAGTTAAAAAACACGATGGAAAAGCAACCACAAATTGTTTATAGTCTAGGACCTGTATATGAAAATGTATGCATTTCATTTCATTTCATTTCGGACAGGTAATCTCAACTGTTTTGGGGTAAAATGACCATGGCGGTCAACATGGCGCCAACATGTGCCAAACCTGAATCCGGGGCGAAACACCTGAAAATGAGTGTATCAATACATTCATGGGCGCCAATCCTTGGGAAGACGGGGGAAACGCGTCCCTCCAATTTTTGGAGTGGGATGTGGGTCGAATATCTAATTATCCCCCCCCCCCAATTTTTGACATGTTTAATGAAATTTGTTTCTTGGTTGTCCAAAAAACGTAATGCATGGTATGCTATTCATCAAAAATTGCGATTGAAGGATGACATTTAATAAGAAAAAGTACAACGTATAATCTTTCTGTAGCCGCTGGGGCAAATACTGACTTCGCATATGTTATGTAAAATTATAAACACTTTAGAGCAATTGCGTTTTAACTGAGTTCCTTCAGATAGATGATTATCTTCAAAATAATGCAAATGGTTAATTTAAAAATAGGTTACAGTCCCTTCTGCGCAATCGCGGGCTTTGTTCACGTCTTTTGTTTTGATCCGCATTAGTTATATAAGATGAAGTATATGACGAATTCAAAGTAACATTCCACATAATTTGTGACCGAGGACTGCAATGTTTGACAATACTTCGCTTCATTCCTTTACATTTCTACACTGGAAATTTTTGTACACAATAACACAATCTTATACTGTAACTGTTTAACTGTAATCATCGTGAATAAAGAGGCCGCTTTGAACCTTGTGTGACGTGTATATATCCACAGCTGGGGCGGCGAACGGATATCCCGAAGATGTTAGTTCGAATAATTTTTTTTTACCTTTGGAGTTTGTGTCTCATCATGAAAATAGTTAATGCGGTATCATTCCCTCGAAACATATTGCCAGAGTTGTTGTTGTCATTATAACAGAAGCGCTTGGAGAAAGCTTTTAGCTTGCCGAAATTCGAAACAAGAGTGAATGAGAATGTGGCTGCAGTTTCTGTTTTCGTGGCAAAGCCAAGTGCGAAATGTTTGACCGGGCAAAATAAGCTGGATAAACAGCTTTTGTTCAAGATCGTGCGCGCTATGGAGATGATTTCAGATGCTGTTATATAAACAACAGAAGAGTTCAATAGGTGAATAGCACCTATGTTGGGTAAAATGTCCAATCCTTCTTGCATTTTTTTAAAAACCTTTTGTAGAAGCTTGAGGATGTAGGTTTATCATGAGGAAACGCAGACAGAAATGGCACGCTCTCTATCGAGGAAAACAATAAAATACTGTAGTTACACTTCGGAAGCATCCCTGCTAGCGTGCTATTCTTTCCTACTCGTCATGTTGCCTCAATAACTCGTTATTTGACGGATCATCGCTCAAAAAAGCTCAATATGTTCTGAAAACGTCTAGCTTCACTCACTTCGCTTGCGAAAAAAACAACACACGTGTTATTGCCAGAAATGAGACTGGACCGGGTATAAAACTAGATGCCAATTTCCGGTTGAGTCCGAAGGCAAAAACAATCACACATACACACAAGGGACTGTAACCTACCTTTAATAGATTATTAGCATTAAAATAAAGGTGAGGACATGTTAGCCTCTGAACAGACGTCTGTTAACAGGCCATGGCATGTCGGTTTTTAGCGGATTTCTCACATGGTGAAAAATGGATTTAAGATCGTGCACATTGTAATATAACTTTATAAGAGCCTCCATAAAGTTGGGAATGCCGTTTCAGCGTATCAAAATTAAAAAAAACACATTCGAGTCACATACCTGTAGACCTTTCTAGTTTGGACTA